GAACTCAGGCCGTCTCGGCCGCTTCGCTCTGGCTTTTTCCCTTTGATTTTGGTTTCGGCTTCGGCCGGCTGGTATCCTTCTCGGTCTCCTCGGCGATCTTCTTGCCCAGGGCTCTGCGCTTCTGCACATAGTCCTCCGCATCCTTCAGGTGCGAGAGCATAACCTCTGCCCACCTCGGGTCCAGGATCTTGCTGAAGGGGCTTTCTCCGTCTGAAATGGACGGCAATGTATGGGACGCCAACACAGACAACGGAGGTCCCTGCTCCAGCATGAGCTCCGCACCCAAGGCCCAGTTGCCCCTGTCGATTGCGACCTGGTCGATCATGACCAGCATCAGACAGCTGCGAGCCCTCGCATGAGCCACCCTGCCATTCACCAGGTCGTCCAAGATTCCAGCTGCTGACCATGCAAGGTAGGCAGAGCTCTTGTAGGCGCCGATGCGGCTCCGATGCTCCACCCATGCACGGGCGTTGAAGTCCTTCTTTGGCATGCCCGGCATCACTGTCTGCAGAGTCAGGTCCTCCAGCATGAGCTTCTCGATGACGCTGCTGATGTCTTCCGGTGCCTCCTGCAAAGGCCAGTCTCAGCGCCCTTCGGGCCGCCGCAGCTCGTTTGCCAGTCGAACCTGAGGAGCTGTCGGCCCCCGCGGTCCCACCCAAGTTCTCGAGGGCAATGTCCACCTTGGAAGATTTTGCTCTCTTGATCTTGTCTGCACTGAGAAGTGTCACAAGCTCCGTCAGCTTGCTCAGAGCTCCTTCCATCGTGCCAGGCTCCTGAGCTACAGTTGTAGGAGAGCCAGACTCGGCATCTTCGGCCTCGTCCTCGCTTTCTGAAAGGACACTGTCGGCCACCTTTCTCGCAGGCTTCCTCAACGCAGGCTCTCGAAGTTTCTTTCCCTTCGAGGAGGCACCCATCAAACGTTCCATTTCTCGCAAGTTCTCCTCTGGAACTCCTGCAGACAGCGCAGAGGCAACTACACTTGGGTCTAAAGAAGGAAACCTCGCAGCATCCTCTTGTCGATGGCCTCCAGGAATCACTTTGGGCTTCGCGGCAAACTGCACCTTTGAGGTCGGAGGCCTTGAAGAACCAGAGCTCACCTTTTCCAGGACGGTCTCCAAGCTCACCGACATTTTCCCCAGGAGATCCTCCAGCCGCGTCACTCGCGGACCCAAAGCACCACCAGCATCTCCAAGACCGGCTGAACCATCTTCTCCTCCTCGTCCACTCTCCGCACTCAGAAAGGAGAAGCGCTCCTCCAGGGCCTCCATAAGAGCAGGAGCAAAAGGAAGATACCCGTCGCTCTCCTCGTAGAGGAAGGGGTAGTTCTGGGGCTCGCTGTCGTGTCGAAGCACCACCATCTCGCCGAAGGTCTCCGCAGTGATGTAGCCAACCCAAACAAACCTTCATGTAGAAGCCCAGCTCCTGGGTCATGTCCTCCACCGAGGCGCAAACCACCTCTATCAACGTAGGCTTGCTCAGGATTGGAGGCAGAGTTCGTTTCGACACCGTCCGATGCCAAACCTGATGTGGGAAAGCAGCCAGGTAGCGGCCATCGGCCACTCGGCTCACCAAAATGCATTGAATTGAAGCTCCGGAGGCCACTTTGAGCATCCATAAGTCGTATTGGAACTCAGCGCTGCCGTCAGGCAGTGCCACAAAAGGTCGATTCGCCAGGGCTTCGCCAGGCTCCACCAACTCTGCTTCTTCGGCAGAGTCACCCTCCGCTGCAGCCATCTCTAACGCCCAACGGGCCAACCAACTCCGGATCGGCCAGCAACTCGACAAGCTTCGCGCTCACTGGGAAGCCCAACAAAAATTGAGTCACCTGCAGATCCAGCCTTTTGCACAAGATCCTTGCAAGCAGCCCAGGTTCGGCACACTCTCACAGGCCGATATTCCAATCCCTCGTAGTCCTTGAAGACCAGCCAGATCTTGCTGGGCAACTGGATCCGGTCTCGTCCAGAGCTCCCACGATGGTCTCCACCCAGGCAGCGCTTGATGAACTCCGCAATCTCGTCGCAGATGATCTCACGCTCGAGCCAGGTCTGTCCGACCCTGCTGGAAGAAGCTCGCTCAGGGTCAGTTCCTTCCACCACACCACTGCTCACTTCCTCTCCACTGCCAGAGCGAGACCGAGATGCGTTCTCGTTGAAGGCCCGAGCAGAAGGAGCCACCAAGGAGAAGCTGCCCTCAGACACCCGGGATGACCTCAAGGAGGAAGTTTCGCTCCGACTGTCTGCTTCTTCAGGGACGCTGCTGCGATCCCGAATCACCAGTTTGCGCAGTCTACGCACCTCGACCCGCAAGTCAGCTAACTCGTCACGAAGGTCGTCCACACTCACCTCAAGAGCAGTGAGCCGGGCGTCCCCCATTCAAAAGCCTCAGGCGAGGCGATGGAGCGGCCGCGTGGGAGAAGAGGTCGACGTAGAATGGAGGAACCTCCTGATGGCCACCTGGTGCAGGTAGATCCGCAAGCAGATCAAGGCCTCAAGGATGGGCCCAAGCAGCAAACCAAGAAGCACACCTAAAAGTATGCTAGGCCAATGGAGTTCCCAAATGCCACGACCAGGGCACAATGACAGCACGGGAGGCCCGGGCGCAAACCCTTCAAAAACCTTCCAAAGCACCGCCAAGGAAGTTCCAGTTGAAACTCCAGTGGCTAGCGCTTGGCTCATGGACCAACAAAGCTGCAGCCACAGTGCAGTTGAACATGAGGGGTCATATATATTATATTTATTATATATATATATATTATATATGATATTTACTATATATATATTATTATATAATATATATATATATATTACATATATATATTGTATATATATATTACATATATATATATATATTGTACATATATATATATATTGTATATATATTACATATATATATTGTATATAGATTGTATATATATATATATTAATATATATTATATTGTACATATATATATATGTTATTATATATCTATTATTATATATATTATATATATATTATTATATATATATTATTATATATATATATTATTATATATATATTATTTTATATATATATACATATTATGATACTCGTACATATCATTATACATATATATATATGTATTATTATATGTATTATTGTATATATTATTATATATATGTATTATTATATATATATGTATTATTATTATATATATATATATTTATTTTATATATTGTAACTTTATTATACGTGTATATATATTATATTGTTATATATATATATATATTATCAAGTGCTTTATTATATATATTATCATATATAATATTCAATACCATATCAGATATATATATATATATTATTATTATTGTTAGTAGTAGTAGTAGTAGTAGCAGGAGTAGTAGTAGTAGTAGTAGTGGTGGTAGTAGTAGTAGTGGTGGTGGTAGTAGTAGTGGTAGTGGTAGTGGTAGTGGTAGTGGTTGTGGTAGTGGTAGTGGTAGTATATATATATTATTATATGTATATGTAAATATATATATATACACATATGTATGTATATATATATGTATATATATATATACATATATGTATGTATACATACATATATATATGTATATATGTATATATATATGATTTTATACATATTATTACATTTGTATAAATAATATATATATATTATTGTATATATTATTATTAATATTATTATACATATATATATATATGGCTCAGCGTCTGGTGGTCCCCTCGCCCCCCGAGATGGTGATAGCCCCTATATGTATACGTAAGTTATATATATATATGTAAGTTATATATATATATATATAATTATATAAGTGTATATTAGTAACCCAGGTTATTGTCATAAAACACCATACTAACTAGGAACACGGCCTTTATCTGGCCGTGGTGTTTTTGTGATCAACGGGGTGTCATGGATGATGTTTGATGTGGTCGTGCCAATAGGATTTTGGTTGATGTGATTTCAAAGGCGAAAAACCCCTGATTCTGGTGCATAAAATCCAAATCTAGCGTTTCGCCTAGGCGAAACTATCATTTTTGATGTTTCTCAGAACTCCTCAACTAATTCGACCTGTATTGTTTTGATGTGAGTTCAAAGACAAGAAACCCCCTTATTCTGGTGCATGAAATGAAAAAACAAGTATTTCGCCTAGGCGAAAACGCATTTTTTGTAATTCCACATGTTATGTATTGATGAAGTTGGCACAGCCTGCCAGACGACCTTGCAACCGACCTGGATTTCAACATGTTCTGTATTGATGAATTTGGCACAACCTGCCAGACGACCTTGCAACGGACCTTCACTTGCATCGAACAGCTAACTATAACCAAAGACAGGCATTCATACAAGGAAATGATGTTGAAACCAAAGAAACTGATCGCACTTCCAGCGGACATTCTCTGATTGTTTTTTTTCTCACAGCAACTGTTCGAGTTCTTCCAGGAACCTTTGGGGATCTGGATTGTCCAGGGTGGAGCGCCAGCACCACATGAACACATATTGCGTTACTGACGGGTGCATCGTTGAATGCCCACGGTCTTTGTGTTTCAAGACCATGTGAGCAGGAAGGAATTCTTTCAAAGTCCTCCAAGACCGGTCCAAGCACTTACAGGAGCGTAGCATACGTCCCGTTCAAAGTACCCGAACACTTACAAGAGCGTCGCATGACGTATCAGTTACAAGTACCCGAACACTTACAAGAGCGCAGCATGACGTATCAGTTACAAGTACCCGAACACTTACAAGAGACGAGTCCACTTACCTAGCAAGTTCACATGAACGTTACCACATGCCCCACCCCACCCCACCCCACCCATGTCTACACGCACATAACGGCACACACAGAGACGAGTCTACTTACCTAGCAAGTTCACATGAACGTTAACACATGCCCCACCCCACCCCACCCCACCCCACCCCCCCAATGTGCACGAAAACGCACGGCCAGATAAAGGCCCTGCTCCAACTATCCATATCCATTGCCTGGGGCAGTCCACTACGTTGGTCTCCGAATGCGCTCAGGCACTCGTTCATCTCCTCGGGCGACATCGTTTCCAGATCCGCCTTGGACGAGCTCTTGTTGAAGAGCTCCGCCTGAGGTTTCGGCATCTAAGACATAAGGACAAACTTGTTGGACAAACCTAAGAATCTAAGGATATCTTGCAGGTGTAGGTGTATCTTGTACATCTTGAAGGATATTAACAGCCCATCTGCTAAAAAAAAGGTGTGAATCAATGTGGAAGTACGTGAATCAACCCTTTAATTGCTGATGTATGCGTCAGTCCATCCAATCAGAATAAGAAGATAAGAGACACCAAGAGCAGGGCAAATGACGCCAAGACATTTTGGCCCAACAGGCTGATGACGTCTCTCAACAGCGCGTTCAGCACGCCTTCTTGTTCTTGAGCAGTGTGGGCAGGTTGGATAAAGTAAAGCTATTTGTCCTCGGGTTGATGCTGTGCATGTGCGATGATCGTCCACTTGTCCGTCCACATGCGGCGGAGCTAGGGAAAACAAGAGGAATCACGCCGATTCCAAGGATGGCATCATGAATCACGCCGTGTTCATCGAATTCGCTCTGCAAGGTATATCCAACCCGTTCTTCCATCAACATGCCCAATCTTAGAATATGACATATATGCGTATATATATAATATATATAATATATATAATATATAATATATATAATATAATATATATATATACATATGTACGTATATGTGGCAACAAACATACCCATGAAAGTCCTTTTTGGGAGGATCGTGAATAGCCCCATCTAAGGGCAACAGCTTAATCACAAGCCCTTACCCACTCCCCAACTGAGTCTTCCGTCAAAGTTGCAATTCTTCCTGCTTCTTTTCTTCCATCAAGAGCTTCTCTCGTCGCTTTTCCAGAATGCGATCCAAATTTCCTCCTCCACCTTAGCTACATCAGTTCTTCACTAATGCAGATTTGTCCAATAATGGAGTACTCCCAAAATCCCAATAGTTTACAACCTCACGGTCCCCAGGAAAATCACCATAGCATGCTATCCCATTTTTGGATATTTTTGCACAAGAATCCAGAGCTGTATTCCAAGAAGCTTCGAGTGCGCCAATTCTGCTCAAAGTATGGTTCTTCGCATAGTTCCTCACGGAATTCCAGGCTGTGCAGGGCCCCAGGGCCCCGCAAAAAAAGAGGTCCCACAATTCTGGCCTGTGGAACCAACTGTCCCCGTACCATGTTCCTGCTACAAAGCCTCCTCTATGCCATGCGTGTTTGCTCCCGTTCTTACAAGTAGTTGCTGATTTTGATCATGTTAAAGTATGTTGTCCCATGTTGTCCCTCTGTGATTGGCCAATTTCCTGCATCTTAGACACAACTAGACACAACAAAAAATACACAGATCTCAGCAGTATCAGCCCATCTCTTGGTCAACTGAACCCTCCCCGGTCCTCGCAAAAGTCATCGTCGTCGATGGCATCGTAGTCACAGGGGTTGCACGTGGTCGCCTCCTACCGCTGGAACAGAAACCCACGCATTTCTAGGGAGACAGTGAGGATATCATGGGGATTTAATTCAATGATATATAGTGAGTTATCCCAATTAATAATGATTATCCCACAATATAATATAATGATATCATGATGTTTCAATGTTCACGGAACACACTGCATCATAAGCGCCATGAGAATACATGGTAAATTCGGCCATGCGTCTACAAAAAAAAGAGAACATGCCGTCGAATAGAAAGAAACAAATACCCAAATCCAAAAGCTTGGGGTTTGTTTGAAAAGACCCGAATCATTCGGCTGCAATATATGGGTATGGATCAATACCTATTAATACCATTTTTAGGGGGATGAACATCCATTTACCAGCTATTTTGATGTTCACCAGGGGTACAAGGTTTTGACACACTGCCATATGGGAAACTATGGGAAAATCATGAGAAAGACGCTGATTTTGACAAAGCCACAGCGATTCCCCCGCCGCCTGCAACTGACGAAACTTGGCTCTGATTGCCTGTGGATCCGCTGCCGGCCAGGCTGGATCTGAATGTCATGCCGCTGCTATCAATCATGACTTTTGAAAAAGATGCAATAAGACCATTAAAATCCATTAAGAATATATATATATGATTATATATGAAACTACAACCAAACAACAAAAAGGAAACGTATGGAAACGTAATCCTTGTGGAGTTTTTGGGCCACAAATCGCCTGCCCTGCAGATGCTTCCGAAAGCTGATTTCTGCTTTTTTTCACGGCTTGGAATCCACGGAAAACTCTCCTGGGAATGCCCTGGCAATCCCTCAACTGACGTACAAATGACGCAATTTGATCTGTGTATGGATACATATTTACTTGAAATGGCTTATAAAACAACTAGCTCAACTAAGTCCCCATGCCATCAGCCAAATCCGGAAAGGGACCTCCAGGCCGCCCTGCAGGGAGCCGTAACGCTTCTTGCAGGCCGCCATTAGCGCCAGCCCAAGCAGCAGGAACAGCCAGGCTGAAGGCAGGGCCCAGGGGAGGGGCGGCAGACAACCGGGGCGCTAAACTGGCTTGCTAAACGGGTTTGATGACTGGCTGGTCAACCCAGGTTATCAACCCAACATGTTAAATTAACCAGGAATCAACTGGTTGAACTGGGAATTGAGATGAGAATTCCTGACCAGCAATGGAAGTGTCTGAGTCTTGGGACCTAGAATCCACCATTGAAGTGGCTGTGGTTTCTAGTGAAGCTTGGCATTCATATCCTATGTGAAACTACGTTTGATTCAACCAATAGCCCAAAACTAGACATGATCTTCACATGTTTTTCTATGTTGACTCCATTTTTGGAGCCGTAAAATGTATCGCCCTTTTGTGTTGCCTATACTCATGTGCCTCTCTCCGGCGCCTGCCATCCATGAGCCATAGACTTCTTCCCTTTCGAGGAGCTCTTTCTTGGAGTGATGGGCCCGCAGGTGATTTCCAAACCAATGCCAATGCCTGGGCGGATAAGCCCCGACGGACGCCGACTGTGTATCAACGACTATACAAATCTATATCTATAATATTCTATAATCATTAATGATAAGTTCTCGTGCTGAACTTTGGTGAACAGGGGAAAAAATCTCGGCCACAAACTGCGTCGCAGTCTCAGGCAGTGAATATTTGGAGGTTTCCTAAAATGGGGTTTACTCCCAAATTATCCAAGTCGTTAGACCGTTTCAGTCCTCAAACCCATGGTGACTTGAGGATCCCCATTCAAAGAAACCGTCATTTAGAACTTCGATCCTAGCTAACCGTCATTTCCTGATGGCAAGGTTCAAATGAGGCATGGAAATCTTCGGTGCAAAAGCGTCGGCCTCATCTGTGATCACTTTGGCCTCACATTGGCTCAGCTTCCAGTCTCAATCATACCCTACCACTACCATGGCCATCCAATAACTATTGTTTATAGGGAATATATCTATACTGAATATTACTGAATGGGGTTTAGAAACCAACTGACCAATCACTACCACAGGGCCTCCTACTTTGGGGGGTCAGAAGCCCCAGTTCTCCTGGGAAAAATCGCTCTGCCTCTTGGGTCACATCGGTGCCAAGGCCTTTGAGAGCATCCATCGCTCCGCAAAACGCGCCGGGTTTTTGCAACTTTTGGTGACAAAAAATATCAGATGTTCCATCGGAGATTCTGATCCCCAATAGACGGGGTAGTAACCCCAATGATCAATGCTGTCGAACATTGCAGCCAGTTATTCACCAGTTCAACTCCTTCAGTGGCTCGCTGTCCAGCCAAAACTCAAGCCAAAAACACTGCGGTGTGCGCGGTTGGCCGAGCCCTAAAAATCAATGGGTTGAGCATGGATTTACCAGCCATAGGGGTGTCCTGCAAATTGTCCCTTGAATCCTTGAATTCTAGGAAGAAATCCACAGCCCTAGGCGCAAGGGTACAACATCAAGCCATGTCAAGGCTATCTGGGGCTGAAGTCACCCGATGATAGTCCTGCAGCCCATTTTTCGGTTGGCTCCACGTTGACCCCCACCTGTGAGTGCCGCGTAAAGCGTGCCGTCATGGCATTGCGACCACCACCTGGATGAAATGGGACGGGGAAGCAGAGCGATCGGTATGACCATGAAAAGTTCATGAAATATTCATTGGCTTATCATATCGACATCTGTGTATATATATATGTATATATATATATATATGTAATTATATATATATGTAATTATATAAATATATGTAATTGTATATATATATATGTGTAATTATATATATGTTAATTATATATATATATGTAATTATGTATATATATATATATGTAATTATGTATATATATATATATGTAATTATGTGTATATATATATGTGTAATTATGTATATATATGTAATTATGTATATATATATATGTAATTATGTATATATATATATATATATATGTATATACCATGAAATGTTATGAAGTATTCACTGGCGTGCCAGAATCAACCATCAAAGGTCGCTCAATGCCAGATATTCTGGATGCTCCTTGGCGATGATCATTAACAAGCTGTTGCCCGATTCTACTGCTTGGTTACTGGCTTTGTTGGGATTCCTATGATGAAAATTGGTCATCAGTTCACCATCATTTGGTCATCAGCCAGCGGGATCAAATGCCTGGTGGTGCAGCGCACAGAAGGAGGGTCGTATTCTCGATATCCTGTGGTCAAGAAAGACATAGAAAGACCGTGTTGGATCTCAAAAGTATGTAGCCAAATTGCCCAATCAAACCAGGTCCTTGAAAGAGATATAAACAGGTTGTGTGGTTTTCAGATGAGATCCCTTCCTCATCTCTTTTTGGGATCGCTAAAAATGGAAAAGATTTTCTGGTGGGAGGCTCTGGTACTAGTATCCCTCCACACCAGTCTCACGTGCACAGAAGCTTGACAGTATCGCAACAAAATGAGGATTTCACAGGGAGTATCATAGCTAGATAGGGTTGTGGAATCATCAATGATCCTCAAGACCCTTTCTGACTTAGCGGACCACAAACTGATCAAGGCATTTCGATTTCAATGGAAAACCACCTCCGGAACATTGGAAAGTCGCAGAATCGGATAGAGTCACATGTCGCTCAAAAAATGCCCCCACATGTTCATCATTGACTTGTGGAAAGGCCACTCTGAGGATTCAGAATCTTGAGGTCGTCTCAACAAAGTATTCAAATGAGCGATGAGCAGTGTGAACGGGTATGATGAGAATCCCCACTCTTTATCACTCTTTAGGATAGTATAACCCCCTATGATCATCAACCAACTACCAGCTGTTTTTTTTGAAACTGCCCATATCAATATCATTACAATGTCCCAGGTTCATTGAAGCCTCCGCACCCCAGGGTCCTTCCACTCATGTTTCTTGCGGTCAAAGAAGCCCCGTTGATCTTGGAACTGCCTGGAAATGGTCTGCAAATTTGCCACACCAGCTGTTAAATTTCTTGAATCTAAATATATCTGTACTATAATATGTATAAATATATATATAATGTATATACTGTATATATATATTATATATTGTGTATATAAATATGTGACGTATGTATATATATATAGTGTCTATATATATATAGATATTGTATATATATAGAGAGAGAGATGTACACATATGACATATGATACATCATTGTATCAGTCGTTTGTGACAGGGAGTGCAATCTCAAAGAACATCCGCTACTCGACGAGTACTGTACATAATTTACACAGGCAGGGCCTCCCTACTGTGAAGAAAACCGGCCAGATTCCTGATTTCATCATCTGAAAAAGTCCTACATGTCGACGCACATCTTCAGGTTGAAAGTTCAAAAGAGATCTCTCAACAATGTAGCCACCACAGCTCCTTTACCCAATCTACAAAGCCTGTCCCCCAAAACTCCTAGGTTTCAACGTTGTTTGGCATCCTCAAGACTTGCAGTGTCTAGGCATCTCCACGGCAGCAACCCTTGAGAAGCACCCAAGCACCGCAAGCGCCCCAAGCGCCTCAGCAGTTCGATGGGTGGTTGTGCTCCATACTCCTCCACCAGGGGCATGTTGACATCATCAATCAAGATCACCACCTTGGTTTCAGTGGGTTTCAACCACCGGTGGACCATCCAAAGGTCCCTTCCCCCAGATACCATGCTGGTTTTGTTGGTGGATTTGCACGTATTTAAGGGACGATTTACAGGGTATTGAATATTAATTGGGGGGGATTGGATTAGTTTGAGATTTGCTATCTTGAAACATCTTCCACTACCTTTCACCATTTTGGCATCTTGATAGGTTTTCTACTACCTTTCACCCCTACAAAGGGGTCAGACTGACTCACATGACTCACGACCTCCCAGGGCTCTTAGTGGCTCTAAGGGCTCCCGCTGTCTTGTTCACTGGAGCTCCCAAAAGGGTCTTCCTCTTTCTTTCCAACTTGCTCTCGATGTTGATCTGCGTCTCCTGGCCGAGATGGCTCTGAAATTGGCTATGCCAATTTAGGGAAAATGATGAGATTGACCAGTGGATGGAATGGCTACCCTGTTAGATGAAAACCATGCTATATGCTATCCATCAGGTCAGCCCAAGTTAAGTGGGATCAGAATGGCATTGTGACCTCCTCCCTGCTGTCCAAGACACATAGGCTTTGGTTTGGGCACTGAAAGTCATGTAGACCTCACGCATCGACCCAAACAGGCTATGTAAAGCCTCCCAAAACAATCCTGGAAGATGCGGATCCCATGAAACCGCCAAATTCAACACAAGTGACTCGTCAAACAACGATGATCGATTTAGCATTGTTTGTACATAAAGGCGTCAAATAAAGCGGGAGCCGGGCACTATATATATATATGTGTGTGTATATGAATGAATGAATGAATGAATGAATGAAGGAATGAATGAATGTATGTATGTATGTAGGTATGTATGTATGTAGGTATGTATGTATGTAGGTAGGTAGGTATGTAGGTAGGTAGGTAGGTAGGTATGTATGTATGTAGGTAGGTAGGTAGGTATGTAGGTATGTATGTCTACTTGGTTTCAAGCTTCACTACTGTAAACCATCCAAAAAAAAAAGCAACCACACATTCTCCCCATGTTCCCCCAGAAATGATCAGTGGAAAAGGTACAGTATAGATTTCCTGTCACTTTAATCTGGCTGAATTATCATACCGCCACCTCTGGGGGTGGTTCCCATCCCAGTTTTATATCCCACTACTATCAATCCCATTCAAGTCTCGCATAGCAATAAGTAATATCTCATTGTTTTTCTCCCATTCATACCAGCTTCATCCAGGATTATCCATGATCAGTGTGATATCCAACTATTAGCCATTATCCAGATCATTAAAAGAATATGTTTTGTGATGCTAATAGTTGGATGTCACATACAGATTAGATAGATTAGTAATATCCATTATTAATTCAATGGATTGGTTTAAGGGAAAGTATACAGGAAACCATCGGTATTTTCCCATTCAATAGGGGGCTTTCCGGTTGAATAGATTTCCCATAGACGCCAATCCATTCATTATATTGATTAATGAATATACCATTATTAGTTATCCCACTATCAATAGAATATATCCATTAATATATTGAATGATTCATATGGTGGGATATTATCATTAATGAGTGGTTGTTTTTTATATAATATACCCTCTGGTAAACGTTTACATAACTATGGAAAATCACCATTGTTAATGGTAAAACTCACTATTTCTATGGCCATTTTCAATAGCTATTTTGACATAACCAGAGGGTATCCCACATAATGATCTGCCGCATCCCCGCGCATCCCCGTCAGACGGAGACACTGGAACCACGGAGGCGATCTCTTTCATCTTCTCCAACAGGGCCGCCACGTTGACGCTCTGTCGACAGATGGGGAGATCATATGGCTATAATGAATGGAGAAAAAAAACGAAGCAAACATCATCTAGATCATCTAGAAATACTCTCTCTGTATATATATATATATAATTATATATATAGAAATACTCTTTTTGGACCTACTAAGATGGGGATAATAATATCAGATGAACAACCATTTGTAGATTCAACCATAGACGATTTATTTGGGGATTCAACGGATACTTCAACCAGGGGTTGAATAATGGGCGCCCTAGGATTCCGCAGGATGGCTGTTTAATTTGGGACATCTTTGTGATTTTTTTGGATCTGTTGGGTATTAAACATGATGGAACCCATCCCACCCCACCAGCCTTGCCAACACCAGAATTGCCCGTCAAGAAGACAGAGTTCTGCGTGGTCATCATGCGGTCCTGGAGACATAAAAAAAACTCCTGCGGACCGAACAAGAGGAAAAATGTAGGATCGCGAAGCCCATTTTGTGCTATGCCCCTGAAACTACCTTCCATCACAGGGCAAACTCTTGAGCATCTGCCTATCTTCAGCTGATGTCTATATCATCACGAATGTACATGTTTTTGGATCAAAAAGCAAAATCGCAGGGCCACAGGGCCTCAGGGGTTCCACAGAACATCTTGAGTAGAAGGCCACTCCCAGTGCCCCGCTCCATGATGTACGAGAAGCGAACTGTGTCAGGATTGGGCACCAGGAGCCTAAGGGGAGGTGATACATCCACCCCATGCCGGGCGCTGCTATTCCGAACCGTTAGGCGGATGCAAGAGACCACTGTTTTCACTGTTCAAGTCTGAGTTGCCATGGATGTGTCCAAACCAGATATATAAATATATATAATTATATAACTGCCCATTTCCACAACCAGCCCATTTCCGCCCATTCTGACCCCATCCACGTGGGTCGAGGAACTGGAAATAGGATACGCCTTCCTGGAACACGAACTTCGGCACGATGTCGGTCCATGACTTCCACTTTGGCCCTGCGATTCAACCCTTGCTGAAGGGGCCTTGCTGAAGCCTTCGAAACATCTCCCATTGGTGGTCTACCCCCATTTCATGTTTTTTTTGAATGGGGACAATGATCAATGATGATGAGCCATTGGATTTAGCGGTGACAAGTATGTCCACGCCAGCCTTCATAGAAGTTGATGAAGCCATCGTATGGACCTGGCTGCGGAAATTGCTGAGGTAGTCATCAACATGGCTTGCTGGAAAATCCACCCAGATGTTCCGGTTTAAATAGCCATTGAGTTTTGGGATTTCTCAGCCATGTTTGATTGCCAGAAGCTAATCAACCAAGAAAACATCTTCAGGGGACATCCCAATCAATTCCAGCAGTAAAAACATCATCGGCTTGCCACGTTGACCATGACCTCCACCACGCGGCATGGACACGTTCGGGAACCAGTTCTCAATCTCTCGGGCGAACCTCGCAGCGGTGGTCTTTTGGTTGGACTTTTGGTTGGAACTGGGACGAGACCTTTTTGGGGTTCCCCATGAAAGTAGATTCATCAGATATAACAGTACTTCCCCACTATGTTTTATAGAATTTTCGTTGACTCATGATTCATAAGATTGAAAATTATATAAATGTATGATAATGTATGATGATTTATGTTTTTTGTTGGTTTTCTTGATGGTTTATTGATTTGAAATGCTAGAAAGTCTTATGATTTTCAACGATTTTCGTGACTTGACCGAGGCGATGACATCGACCGGGTCTTGGCATCACAACCTGGCTGTGAGGTGTTTGTTTCAATGGGGAGATCCAAGATGATCTGAGTTTCAAATGGTGAAAATGTTGAAACCCCCTGTTGATCTGTGGTGAAAATGGTGAAAATGGCCTGTTGATCATCGAATTCTAATGGAATTCATCAAATGTGTGGGTTTCCCGCCAAAAAAATCCGACAAACCCAGCTGGTGCCAAAGGCAGGAACAGTACAATAGCCTTTGAAAGATGGCAACAGGAACCAATCTGCAGGTGTCTTCGTTCATTACCAACTGATACAAGGAGAGACTCTCCGATCAAATTTCGGGAATTTAACAAACCAGACATTGAATCTTGATTCAACAGAGCGAACAACACTGGCTTCACAGGTAGCTGTCCATGATGAAATGTCATAGCTGTCCATGTCATGTCGCGGAATTCCCCCTGACAGACTGACTCTGGCCCAGTGTCATGCATCATCCAGCTAGCTGCATTGAAACTTCTTGCTACGTTGCCTCTGATCCTAATCAGTAAAAACAATACCTCCGAGAAACCCCAAAAGTTAGTATTGGATGTATGTATTATGTATGCTTGCCTCATTTTGCCTCCCTTATCGGGTGGTGTTGAATATGCGGCTTATGGAAGTACCATTGCCCAAATCAGAGGATGCCGAGTCACTTCCACCAATGGTCCAGGTGAATGCGAAGCAAAAGCAGGGCTGAAGGAACTTCTCAAACTCCGCCGCCTGGCTGAAAAATTAGCTTCGCCTAGGGCCTAGGGAAGGGCCTATCTCCACTGAAAAGGGCATCCTATTTTTTTGTAGTATTGGGATTCTTACAATCATATCCTAGGATATTGGGAAAAAACACTCACGGGATAATTATCATATCAATGGCTGTATGAATGTATGTATGCATGCATGCATGCATGTATGTATGTGACAGGAGTATGATCATATATTAACAACCATTGATAGGTCAATGTTGTTCCCATGATATGGTGTATATTCCTTTGGTCATTACATATATATATATCATGAAGGAAAGTGAATATTCCTATTAATGCGACATATGATCTATACATTCCTAGTAATATTCCCAGGATGGAAAGTTCATCTTAAAGGACCAGCGAGACACTTTCGCCCTTGCGCTTTCGACCGCCTCCAAGGTGGAGACCCGCCGGGGCACCAAGACACTCTCGCCCTGCCGGGATGAAAAATGGAACCCATCTGGATGGACAATGTGGGAAAACCAAAAAAATAGTAGGGGAAACTGGTATGGTATAAATGGGATATGTGATCTAGAATAGTAAGTTGTGGGAATTTCATGGGATTTATATATGTTTACCTTAATGATCTAG